ATGACCACACTCAAATGATATGGGTCTACATTTTAAAAGATAAATCGGAGGTTGTTGTAACTTTCCAAAACTTCTACACATTTATTTTAACTCAATTTAAAACTCTATTTAGGTTCTTCTAAATAACAATGGTCGTGAGTTTTTCAACTCTATTTTGGGTGATTTCTTGGTAAATAAGGGCATCCTCTACCATAGTTCATGTACGGACACCCCTCAGCAAAACAGGATAACAGAGAGAAAAAATAGTCACCTTAACGTTGCTCGCACAATTATGTTTCAATCCAATGTCCCTAAAAGATTTTGGAATGATGTCATTCTTACCGCCACCTATCTCATAAATAGAATCCCCTCTGAAATTCAATGGTTCAGAATCCCCCCGGTCGTCCTGATATCATGCTTCCCTACCAATCGAGTCTTCTCCACCTTAGACCCCAAGATTTTTGGGTGTATTGCTTTTGTTTGAAAGACTGCCCCCAATTGGAGTAAACCTGATTCCAGATCCATAAAATGTATCTTTCTTAGGTACTCCGTCACTCAAAAGGGGTATCGGTGTCTTTATCATACCACTAACAAAATTTATGGGAGTGTTGATGTCTTCTTTTTTTTAAGAGTTCCCTATTTTCCTGGCTTGTCCCCAAGTGAGGGAAGCTTGGGTTCTTAGACACTATTCCTTATCCTACTCTAGATGTTTCTCCCATTAATCTTGTCACTAAAGAGTCCTCTGTTTTGATGAGTGTACCATTTGGTCAGTCCCCTGATTCGGTAAGTGCACCATATTTGGCTGTTTTTCCCATTATTCCTGTCTTAGAGGAGTCCCCTAATTTCGTAAGTGCACCATCTTCTCCTCTCACTATCTGTGTCTACACTGAGCACACTCGTTCCAATGCTCTACTCTTGAACTTGCTACCTCCTTACAAGACCTCGACTCCACTCTGGTGACAACCTCAGCACAATCCTCCTCTAAAAGAGGAGAGTTCTCCGAGTAAGGTGTGCAATTAGACATGTTCCCTCAATTCTATGACAAAACATATCTCTTTCAGCAGCTTATCGTCAACCTACAGAGCATTTGCTACTGTCATGAAGAACCATCAGATCTCAGTTACTGCTGAGGTTGCTCTTGCTGATCCAAACTGGAAAACGGTAGTAATGGAGGAGATGAATGCTCTTCGGCAGAACCATACATGAGAAGTCGTTGATTTTATTCATCATAAGAAATTTGTGGAGTGTCGATGGATTTTCAATACCAAATTCAACTCTGATGGATACTTTGAACGCAATAAGGCACAGTTGGTTGTTGAATGGTACTCTCAGACCTACGGAGTTGTCTATGAGGAGGCATGCGCTCTAGTGACCAAAAATAATATTCGGGTTTTATTTTCGAGAAATTATTCCATACAGAGCACTTACGCAGCTCTACGTACGGACTTCCATCGAATTATCTACTATTTAAAACGTACACCGGCCTCAAGTTTGTTTTTCTCAGTCTATTGTTGTTTATACAGATGTTGATTGGGTCAGATCGGTTCATGATCGACGTTCCATTTCAAGTTATTGCTCATTTGTATGGGGAAATATTGTCACGTGGAAAATTAAAAACAATCTATGATTGCCCGAAGCAATGCTGAAGATGAATTTCGGTTCATGTTCTTAGGGATCTGTGAAGCCCTCTAGTTAAACAAACTTTGTATGCAAAACTTCGTTCCAGTGCAGTTATTCTGTAATAATAAGGTCGCTATCAGCAGTGCTCATAATCCAGTCCAAAATGATCGCACCAAACAAGTGGAGAATGACACTTCATTAAGAAAAAGATTGAGTCCGAGGAAATTTGTGTTCCTTTTGTGTCCCTCAGCGGTCAACTAGCAGATATTTTCACCGAGAATCTTCCTCGCCCTTTGCTTGATGACTTCAAATCTAAGTTGAACATGATTGACATAAATGCTTCAACTTGAGGAGGAGTATTAGATTTATTATATTTATTGGTTTTCCATAATTGTTACATTTATTAATCTCCATTATTCTCCATTATGTAGTTTCTTTTTTATCATTATTCTGATTTTAATTCTTTGATTATTTTTTTATTTCTTTCCTTTTCTTGAGTTCATTGAAATTGGATTTAAATAGTCCTCTTCATTTTTTTTCTCTTTGTATCTATGAGAGATATATTGCTTTATTCTCTAATCTAACTATATATGTGTGTGTGTGTACATATGTGTATATATACATATATATATATATATATATATATATATATATATATATAAAAATAAGTTTGTTATCTGGTTCCGCTCATAAAACTAGAGGAAGAGACAGGACTAAACTGGCGCGTCTCTATCTACTGTTTTCTGCATGTTTTAAATTTGTTTTTAATTTTATTTGTCTATCGCTACCTTTTGTTGGAATTTTTATGTACTTGTATCGTATGCGTAGGGTGCTTCTTTGGGCTCTTCTCATATAAACTTTATGTATCCTTTTATATTTCAATAAAATCAGTCGTTGGCTTATATATGTATATATATATATATATATTTGATGATTTAAATTATGCACTCATTAGTATTGATGATTACCATGAACATATTTGAATATTATAAAAGTGCATTTATGTTTTGTGACAATCTAAACAAATTATTTTTCTTCTCGGTCAATCCTGATTAGCACAGTTAGGAGAGGAGATGGTGGAAAATGCATGTAACCCGCTTGTCAGCGTGGGTTATATCCCATGCTAATATGAGATGATGATCAACATGGAGCTTGACACAATATAAAAAAGGAATACTTTTTTACGGACATGTTACAATGGCAAACCTAAAGTGACCAAGGAAGTCATTCAAAACTAGAACAATATCAAATGATGAATTCTGTCAATAAGGTATGAAACTTGCTATCTTAAGCAAAGAAGAGAATAAATATACATGTGAAAAATTAGTTTCATAGCCTCTGAGTGAATTATTTCTCGAAAACATAAAATTGCAAAATTGAGTAAATCTGTCATCCGTTAGTTTAAAAAAAATAATCACAATTACATACACACCGCCCGAATCATTGCTATTTACAAATTAAGCACCCAGGAGATTTTTTGAACCGCAAAACCGATGCATTTAGATGTGTCATGGTCAAATTATTGAGAATTTGATAAAATGAAAAATATGGCTTGGGGTTTTAGGATAAACTTTGATAATTGAGTGACAATTTAAAAAATAGATGAAAGAGGGTGCTTGATTTGTAAATAGCAATGTTTTCCATTGTGATAAAATTTTGATATTTGAGTGACAATTTGAAAAATCGATGAAATAGGGTGCTTGATTTATTAATAGCAATGTTTCAGATAATTTGTATGTAATTGCTAAAACAAACAATTCTAATGATTCAAATGCATAATTTAAGGAAAAAAGTTTTAAAAGGAATTAATCATTTCAAGAAACTTCTATTCATAAACATCTATTATCACACCAATCCTACGAAATAATCATTTCATCGAAGACATTAATGGCGAAAGAACTGGACTAGCATTAGAGCTTCAACGCAAACGCAAGTGCAAAGGATTAATGCTAAGAGAAGCAGATGTAGAAAGTGTTGTACATGAGGCTATGAGTCTAAGATTAATAGCAAACAACAAAGAGGAAGGCACAAGTGACAAAAAACAGGAAAAGTAAGGTCAGATGTGTAAGTTGGATCACAATGGGCTAAACTTTACAAGCAGCCAAAGAAAGAATGAAAGGATTCCGTGCCCTCTAGTAGCATAACTAAAAGCTTGCTGTGAAACCTGTTTAACATAGAAGTATTTTTACAATTCAATCACGTAAGGAATTCAGGTTGTATAGGCGATTAGTGTATTAATTGTTTAGTGTAGAAAAGAAATCAAATGTCTAAAAAACTTTTTCTTCCGCTATGTTACATATCATTAGCAAATCTTCCATGCACATTTAATATAATTCAAAATCATTAAAAGAAGCAATATTCACTCTATTGTCATAGTTGCTTCTTCTTTTATTCTTATACAATAGCTGCGTGTCAAAAGATGATGTTGCAAACTGGTCTCAGAAAATCCTCTTAACTAATTTCTAGCCCATCCTTCAAAAATTGATCGGGAGCATATATATTGTGCACAATAATAAATAAACAAAAAGATAAATAGCAACTATTAACCCAAAGCCAACAATACATTAGTTCTGAATGGCTTACCTAGAAGAAGATATCATCCCAACAAAGATTTTATAGGCCCCGTCATCAATTTCACCTGGAGCATTTTCAGGGTCCGCATAGGTTCGAGGAAAATGGTGTAGAAGCTTTCGCACCTGTTGGAATTAAAAGCAAAATCAAATATTAGAAGGATTAAATCATAAAATGTAGCCTAGAATTTAATTCCAATCAAGAGAAAAAAGGTCCAACCGTGTGGAAACCACATTCTTCAAGCCTACGGCACTGTCTATGGGTTGTATCTGGAATAATCTTAACAGTCGAATCCAGAGTTGATTCAAGATATACTTCAGTATTTTGTGGTTTTGATTCTGCAATTAAACAAGTTTTATTGCCACTAAACTGAACTAATTCTGCTCCACTGTCCACATTTACTGCTGGAGAATCATGGAGCAATGTGGAGAAATTATGCTCATTACAACTTATAGTTGGCAGCTGAGGTCGAAGGAACTGGCATGCATCATTAAATTCAATAGCACTAACTTCATTAGTTTCTTGTGCCTGCTTTCTAGTTGCAGTATCAGGAAAGTTTCTTCTACCTTCCGTTAATAAAAGTGTCAGTTGGCTATTTTCCAATGGAACCTCGTTATATAGTTTAACAGGTGATGAATCACCAACGGTGATGCAGGGAAATCTTGCATTAGCTAATGCAAAATCAAATTCTTCCTTCATGCCATTCAAATCAAAAGATTCATCCCGCAATCTTTCTTGCTCAATAACGTCATCCATGTTGTTATAATATGTCAAAGCTGAAACCTACAAAAAATTTGACATGTTTCAAAAGAATGAGAAGTTATCCAAGTCCAAAAAATGAAAAAAATGTAGTTTATTGCATAGAACCCAAACCACACTGAAAAGGCAACCGTTGGTCAACAAGGAGGAACAAATATGGAAAAAAAGTCAATACAGTAAGTTTAACATATGAAACATTAAGATAATAATCAATTTCTAAAAAATGTATAAATTTAAAAAAGCTAGAAAAAATATCATTGAAAATCTTCTCAATTCATCCCTACAACCAACTAATGTTTTACCAAAACGCAATCATGAATGCCTGGTCACAATCAACCCCGAAGATCAAATGTAGTGTACATCAAAAATAAATCTGAGAAGGAAACAAAAGGCTAATTCTCAATGGCATGATCACCTGTAGTCTTTGAGCATATGACAGGATCTAGTCAGCATTGACAATGTGGACTAGTAATATGCTGAGTGGGCGAAGAAGCTGCCGGAGGAAAGAAGAGGTGCAGGTTAAGCTTCAAGATCAAAAAGGAGAAGATTGTGGCATGCTTCTGCAGAGAAAACAAACCATAACGACCCAAAAGTGGGCAAAGAGTCACAAAAAAATAAGAGAAGTAAAATATATTCTCTTAACGTCAACACCATGTGAACTGGTATATTTCATGGTTAATAAATTCCATGACCACATAAAGTTGGAGAAAACTTTCTACTCTATAGGACAGCCGAGGAGTATGGGAGGCTGCACCTGAAACCTATTATAGAACAAAAATTTGTTTATAGTTATTTGAGAATGAGACCACACTATATGATCTACATCAAGGAGAATTGAATGTGACTAAATAATTTAAAACACTCACATGTTGTTGGCTGCAGCTAAACTTGCATGAGGTTTGTTCCTGGAATGACTATACCTTGCAAAGCAGAATTACTAAATAAAAAAGAATCATCAAATTCCTCTTTGGCCTTAATAAATACATAGATGATATCAAGAATAGAATCATGGGAATTAAACCCATCCCTACCATTCGTGAGGCCTTTGCAAAAGTTTGAAGAACAACAACACAGCCTTAATCCCACTATGTGGGGTCGGCTATATGAATCATTTTTCTCCATTGCATCCTATTTAGTGTCATATTTTCATTTAGTTCTAATAAATTAAAATCATTTTTTATACAATAAGCCCAAGTCTTCCTAGGTTTACCTCTATCTTTCTTAACATAAGTTGAATCTAAAACATCTACTCTCCTAATCAAATCATCAGATGGTAGATGTTTAATAAGACCAAATCATCTAAGACGACTCTCTCTATTGCAAAAGTTTGAAGGAGAAGAAAAAAGTTGATGATGACAAACAATCACCACCCCACCAACTATTGAAGAATAAGCTTTCTACACTCAAAACTCCACTGAGAAAAACAATCCCAAAAAAGGACGGTCTTGGTGAGACCATTGTAAAAAACCTGATCATGGAAGGAAAAATGTTAAAAATTACAAGACAAACATGAAAATTGAAAGCCACCAAATGGAAGATATGATAGGAAGAACCATGCAACTGTTTTTGTCACAATTAACAACAATTTAGAATTTAGTCCGTTCACCAGGGAGCAAATTGACGCATTGCAGAAAACGTTCAGTAATAGTTCTAGTTTTGGACAAACATCATAATCCTTTGCCGAACAACCTATTAAACAATTAGCACACCAAGGTATTTTATCCCATGCTTTAGTGTCCACAGAAATAAATTAAAATATTGGAAAGTTGACTCTGAAGCCTCAAATCATTTGACGAGAGACATCAACGTATTCAAAAATTAGAACCCATGTATCAATCACTATGCAGTTCGAATAGTTGATGATTCATTTTCACCGATATTAGAAATTGAATCAGTCAAATAGATAAAGGATCTCCATCTCTACTCTATTATTTATGTCCCTAAACTAAATTGCAACCTACTCTCAATCAGCAAACTTACTCATGAATTAACATATCACTAACTTTATTTCAATTATTACAATTTCAGGTTGTGAATTTGAGGAAAGCGATTAACATTGTTGGGATGCATAATGGTCTATAGTTGCTCAAAGAAAAAAAACTACATTAGTATGCTATGTCATCTGTCGAATTGTATTTCTGAATCCAGTTCAAATTCCGTCATTATAATTTTAGTTGAAAGTCAAGTCATATAGATGCATTATCATCTTGATCATCCAAATTTTGTAATGAAAAAAATAATTCCACATTTATTTATCACTAGAAAATTTAAACTTCAGCAATGTAAAACTTGTCACCTTGCAAAACAAACGAGACATGTGTACTCTAAATTACAATACAAGTTTTCATATCTTTATTTTTGTAATTCACAGTGATGTATGGGGACCCTAACAAGTAAATAGTATAAATGGGGCGATGGTTTCTATCATTCATTGATGATCACACACGAATAATATGGAGATTCCTTGTGAAAACAAATCTAAAATAGCCATCATATTTCGATCCTTTCATTCCATGACTCGCACTCAATTTTGAAGCAAAATTCAAATTCTTAAAACTGATAATGCTAAGAAATATTTTAATCACATCCTTAGTCCTTATTTTTTCAAGTATGGTATTATCCATATAAGATTTGTTTTTGGACACTCTTCAGCAAAATGGTGTCAAAAAAAGGAGACGAACATTTATTTGAGGTGGCCCATGTCATTATATTGTTTAATCATGTGCCAAAATTTTTTTGAGGCGAAGTCATTCTCACAACCATATATCTCTTCAATAGGATGTCTACTCAAGTCCTAAAATTTCAAGTTCCCGTAATATTCTCATGAAATCCTACCCACACATTCGCACTTTTTCTTGTGACTTACCATTGAAGGTTTTTAATTGTTTTCTCTTAGTTCACATCAAACAACAGCACCGTATCGAATATGATCCCAAGTCTCTCAGATGCATCTTCCTTAGTTACTCATCCAATCAAAAATGGTACAAATGCTACTCGCTAACCACTAGAAAAATATATAACTATATGGGTGTCATCTTTTTTCGAGAATCAATCATATTTTCCCAAATTTAAAATTCAAAACAACTCGAGGGTATATCAAATTTGAGATTTTTCCAAGATATGCAAATCATTTTACCTTTAATTGAACTAAATTTTATCCCCCAAGCAGCTCCACTTAAAGAACCAAACTCTGTCATAGAAACAATCCGACTAAAAAGAATGATTCAAAAGAAATTATCAGACTAAAAAGAATGCAATTATCTCTACTTCATTCAAAAAGACAAAAATGATAAGAAATTTCGTGCCTACACCAGAAGATGGACCACTAAGCATGTAGAGGCACTATAAAAACTCAAAACTGTCAAGAGGCAAAACCAAGGCCTCTAAATAATCATAATGGTATGAATTTTCGCAACTCATGACTCTCTTACATCGAAGGTTTAAAATTGTAATTAACCAATTGCACAGATCGATGGTATCTAAAGGTGCACTGATCATCCATTTAAAAGATATGTAGCTTATGAAAGTTACTAACATCTTACAGAACTTTTGTGACAAGCCTTAAGTGTGCAGGTTTTCAACTCTACCAAGAGACTCTAAAAGTTCCAGCATGGAAACAAATTGTTGAGGAAAAAATTCGAGCTCTAGAAAAGAATAACACAAAAAACTTATAGAGATGTCTCATGGAAAAAATCTTGTATGTTGCAAATGCATATTCACAGTCAAATACAAAGGAGATGCGGGTATATAGAGATTTAAAGCCAAATTGGTTGCCAAGGGCTTCACGAAGTCATACACAATTGACGATCAGAAAACATTTACATATGTTTGCCAAAATATGGGGGGTTTTACTCTCTTTCAGTAAATCAAGATTGGTCTTTATACCAAGTTGAAGTTAAAAACAACTTCTTGAATGGTAAATCTAATGAATAAGTATATATGATTATACCTTGGGCTTAAAAGATTGGTCAAACAACAAGTTTGTTTGGAAATTAAAGTCCTTATATGGCTTGAAGGAATCTCCTCATACATGGTTAGCAAGCTTGTTGATAGAGCAATTACAAATGAGTATCATCAGTGTCAAGCTGATCATAAATTGTTTGTTAAATCCAATCCTAGAGGCAAAATTGTTAATCTCATACCATATGTAGAAGATATTATCTTGACAGATAATGATTCAAAAGAAATTATCAGACTAAAAAGAATGCTTGCAACAGAATTTGAGATAAAAGATCTAAAAATTTTCATATCCCAAAGGAAGTACGTCTTAAACCTATTAAGTGAAACTAGCATGCTTGGTGTAAACATGCTTACACACCAATGAATTACAACAAAATGATGAATAGAAGTGAAGAAAACAGTCTAGTTGAAAAAAAAAATCAAAAACTAGTGGGTAACATATTTTACCTATCACACACAAGACCTGATATTGCATGCTCTGTCAATGTAGTAGGCCGGCGCATGGATAATCCAAATGAGAATCATTTGGAAATAGAGAACAGAATCCTAAGATAGTTAAAGATGACTCATGGATACAATTTGCTCTTCAAAAGAACTTACAAATTGTGAGATTAAGGTTTACATAGATGATAGTTGGGCAGGAGAGCAACTAATAAGAAATCAACAGCTAGATATTATCATACATTTAGAACAATCACATCACATGAAGAAGCAAAAAAACAAGTTGTCTCTCAGAATAGTGTGGCATATGAATATCATGCCCTTGCACTAGGAATATATGAGGGAATGCAAATTCCAAGGCCATTATCAGAGCTTAGATTGAGAGGAAAGACACACTTAAGATGTCTGGTGATAGCCAAGCAGCTATTAGTATGGCAAAAAATCTTTTGCAACATGACAGGACAAAACACATTGAGATGGGCAGACACTTCATCTCAAAAAAGTTTAACAATAGAATTGTTCACCTTAGTTGTGTTCTCATACAACTTCAAATTGCAGATATTCTCACCAAAGCACTACCAAGATCAAACATGAAGAATTGAAGTCCAAGCTTGGTTTGTACAATATATACAACTCAGCTTGAGGAGCGAATATTACAAAAACCAAGCGTAGATGCGGACTTTGAGTAATTTTGGGGTGTTATTGCACCTCAATATCAACCCCAATACCCCTAAAATACCACCAATATCACCCCAGCACCATGTCAATAGCACCAATCCGCACGCAATATTTTTCCCAGCTTAAGGGGGGAGTGCAGAAAAGTACCAATCAACATGCTTAATCAGGAAGAAATTTATTTCTTTCACTTAGAATATATTTCACTGATAGTTTTTATTTTTATTTTAATGTACTATTTTTCTATTCTTTCCAATTTGGAGGGACTCCTATTTCATTTCCTTTCATTAGATATATATATATATAAATATATATATATATATATGGCATCGGCAGTGGCACGCTCTGCTAGGGTTTCCCCCAATGGCGATTCCCGGCGGTGAATCTCTCGGCTTCTTCCCTTCTCTTCAGTGTCTCCCACGCAACGTTCACGTAGCTACAACTCTAGTCTCTCTTATTGAAGTTGATCGCTCCCTGTCGTCTCCGTAGTCGACGAGGATTGCTCCTGTCGTCATCGTTTGATTCCATTGACAACGACGCTATTTCCCACAGTTGTCTCCCGTAGCAGACGACCTTTCGTCTTGTGGCCATCTCCTCGCTCGCTCCAGAGGAAGCAAGCCCGAAAGACAGCGCCTAAAGCCTACTCGTTTCCTTGCGACCCGCCACACAGTTTTTCTGACTGTGACAATCTTGTGAGGGAGATGGTCTCGACGCTCCGTTCCTATGCAAATGCCTTACCGACATCTTTCCCATTCTATTTTAGTTTCAGAGTCTGGTTTTGGTATCGGTAAGACCTGCAATATTCCACAATCTTTCCACGAGGCTCTTGAAATTGGTGGTGATCACACTTTTATTAAAAAGCTTGGAAAAAAAATGGGAAGTCTGCTCTTATTCTCACTGAAGTTGAAACCAGTGCTCTCGCGTCCTCTTGGCGTTTTGCTCTGGTGGGGAAATTCTTTTATGATCACTTAAAACTGGAGATTATTCGAAAAGAGTTTGATGTTATGAAACTATTGGGCAGTTGGAACATTAGTCTACTTAACGATCGGCATATACTTATTCAGTTATCTCACAATGACGATTACACTCGCATTTTCTCTCGAAAGTTATCAAGATCGACAATCGTTTTATGAAAATTCTGAAGTTGACTGTCGATTTTGATCCAAAAAAAGAGTCCCCTATCATTCCTGTTTGGATAAAGTTTCTTGGGTTAAAATTACATCTGTTTAACATGGAAATTCTCTACTCTTTAACAACTACTTACGATAAATCTCTCAAGGCGGATAGTCTTATGCTTGTCGTCATCAGACCATCTGTGGCTTGTGTGTTAGTTGAAAGCGACATCACTCAACCAGCTCTGGATGAGATATGGATTGGCACGATTCACAACGGGTATTGGCAAAATGTTGAAATAGAACAACACCCTCCTTATTGCTCTCATTATAGTACGTTTGGCTACATTTCTATTATTTGTTATCGCTTGCATCCTCATCTAAGACCGAATATCGCTAAAGATCAGCCACCTACCATCCTTGCTGAGAAAATGCAACCTACCATCCACCTACCATCCTTGCTGAGAAAATGCAATCTGATCCTCTTTCCAACATCGCAGTTCCAAATGAAAAACTCCATACTACAAGCACAGATTCAAATGTGCTGATACCACTTACTCTTATTGAAGAAGACCCACTTACATGTCAAGACACACGAGAGTGCTCCTTCTATCAGATAAAAGATTAGTTGGTACAACAAGTAGTTGTTTCTAATGTTCAACAACCCACACATATCACACATATCCTGCACAGCACACTTCAGACCATTCCGCTGATCAAGTGAGTGAATCTTTGGATGATGAATGACAGGTCTACACGAGGAAGAAGAACGGAAGATGACTCGAACTAGGAAATCTATTGCACGATACATTGGTTACTACTAGCAATGGCACTCATCTGACCAATTTATTAGTTGGCTCCTTCCCTAGAACTAGAGACAGAGGCAAGGAAAAATTAGGTCGCTCTCCAGCTACCTGATACTCCTATTTTGGCACTTTATGATTTTTTATTTAGATCTCTTATGTATTTTGTTGTATTTTCTCTTTTCTGGAACCATTTGATATGGTGGTTTTTGTGTGAGCAGGGTGTCATGTTAGGGACCTCCCACAAAATCTATCTGTACCCTACTTTTTATTTAATATAATAGCCTTTGGGTTTTCAATATATATAT